AGCAAACGTATGTTTGCTATAGTAATCGACAACGTTACTTATATTCGTATTAGAGTAGGGTTTCGAGACGTCAGCTAAACTCATATCATTGTGGGAAAATTCTACTACCAGTCCTTCATCACCTTACACAAAATAGGGTGAATACATCTCATTACAGTAGGATCTCAGCTGGCCACCTTTTCTAAGTTTAGTTTTTTTTCTACATTGTTCGTGAATAATGGTTTTTGACTATGATGATGTCCGTCACATGACGGACGAATGCTCAGTACGGAGTCATCGAGGTCGTAAGACGATGAGCCGAGACTTTCTTGGCACAGTTCAACAGACAAAAGTCCAAGGCAACGCTTCTGCCGTATCTAATGCCGCCAATCTAGGAATTCCTCCCACTCGCCTTCTCAAACCAACTGAAAGGTATGCCAGTATCAGTCTACCAAGGGAGTCTTCTAAACCCAGCTTCTATTCATATCTTTAAAGAGGCGGAGTGATCGTCAAGGCCGCGATGGGAAACCATTTCGAAAAGTCAGTTCGGTACTAAGATTATGGAGGGGGTGGAGCGCACTGTAGATACCGAAGTGCTCGCTTAGAGGTGACCCTGACAATACAGTCATATTGCAACTACGGCGTCAGAACCTGGGTCGCGAAAGGTGAGAAAAAATTCTTCACCTCAGGTAACTTAGGCTCTCGAATTTGCAAATCTTTGCCAATTCCCAAGGTTTTGGGCCGATTAATTATATCTCTCAGTCACCTCACGTGACCTGGGTTGAATGGAGTTCTTAATCCAGGTCCTTGTCTGTCTACCCTTTGGTGTGAGGAGTAGAGATTTGATGTATCTTGATTTCGAGGATTTATTAAAAAACCCGTTCGGCAACTTTGTTATGCCTCAGCCCTTGTTTGTACGCCCCTTTTGGTATACAATTGTGCACATAATCTGTAAGCATAGACATGCTCATGCATAGTTGGGACGATAGAGTATAAAGAGGGACACTTCACATAATGGGAAAATCGATGGATGTGGAGGTCGCGGAGCCGTTTTATAGACGAATACCTATCATTCACGCATTCCCATACCGTCCACTCAGCCAATCGCCGAACCGCGCTCATCGCTACGATACCAAATGTTGGTTGTCTAGTCGGCGGTACCCTTTTTAGGGCAGCGAGACAGGCCTGACCGGCATGTCGACTCTGCGGCTTCTGTCAGTCACCCAACGAGGCTGGACTGGCGTGGAGACGGGCGCGGTTTGGATTTTCCCACCGACGTCTAGCGACACATTTGAAGATTCCTGTCGGCAGAAGTCGCCTCGGTGACGAGCATTTATCGTTTGATTATGTCCAGCTTAGGTATCACCTCGGCTCGTGGAGACAAGCCAGTCTCGGCCATGCTCACACTGCTTCAATCATACTGACGACAGAGTGTCGGATTGCAATCTTTCTTGTGTCCGTGTGCCTGCCGGCCGGGGACAGTAGCCAACTCTCCATTTGTTTGTCCTAATAATGCATTTGTTGAAGCGTGCATGTCAACGCCCAACTTGAGAAGAGGAGAAGAGCAGATACCCGAAGAGGGTGGACCATTGAGTGTAAATTTGCAAAGAAGTAACTATGGCACTGAAAGTGAGAAAGAGCGAGAGCGAGAGCGAGAGAGATTGAAAGAGGGAGAGAGGTGGAGGGAGAAAAAGAAAGACAGTTGTCCTTAAGGCAATATCAGACAGCCTCATTTGCCCACTTTTTTCCGGCCAATTTGCCACGAGCAGACTGAACCAACTCCGGCTCTCGTGCCGATCAACGCTGAGGGACGAGCACCTCAGGCTGGTTCGGGCCGGTCAGCCTCCGGGGCGGTAGATCCTCCGGACGGTGGACACATGTCACCCAGTGGGTCAGGCGCGATTGTGCTGCTGTAGCCGACTTGAAACCGGCCAGTCCGGCAACATGTTGTTAGGCGGTGCTCAGACCTCGGCAGACGTAACAGCCGCCAAGTCCTGCCTCACTCCGAGCGCCGGGTTTCCGCGGGCGGGCAGCCTGGCGACCGGACTCGAACTCGGGCTAGGAAGGCCGGGAGCAACGACGGCGACGGCGACGGCGACGGCGACGACGATGGGGAGCAGAAAGGCCGGTTTCGCCAAGCACCTGATGGCCAGTCTGGTGGCGGCGCATCGGATGCCCATGTCGCCCGACTACCGCCGCATCCTCGGTCTGTCCATCCTGTTGCCAAGTCTGGCCACATGCCTCTTCTTGTTGGCCACTTCAATGCCGTGTTGGGAGCGTGTCGAGTTCCCATTTGACGAGTTTCAACTGGTCATGCAAGCCGGCCGTCCCGACGCCGTCGCGTCGGACCGTCGCAAGGAGGGCTTGCAGAATCGCCGGCTCCACCTCGGACTGGCCCACTTCGCGATTCGAGCCCTGCTTCTGCCCAACCGATCCGTCGAGCCTGTCGTGGGCCCGAAGGCCCGACATCTGCAGCCAATGCCAGTTGGTATGGTGATCTCGAGGCGGCGGAGTCGTCAGGGCGTCGACGAGCAGGTCTCGGCCAACCCGTCCGGTTTGCGTGTGCCCTTTCTTGAGACAGCCGAGTCTAACCAGAGGCCGAGACACGAGGGGACTGTGACCCGCCAATCCGGAGAGCAGACATGGTGTCTGCTGAACACGTGGTCAGGAATTTGGTCGTCATGCGATTTCCTCGAGGGTGAGTCGACTCTGGTTGCCGAGTGACTTGATAATTTCTTCTTTATTTGTGAGTAGGATTTTGCGTATAACGTTTACATCTCATATGTCCGATTTAATGGTAGCCTAGAAAACCTACTTACAAACGAAAAATAAGTGAGGTAGTCCGTTGCAATAGCAAAATAACGTTGCTT